TGTGGAGCTATTGAGGCCTATTATCACTTTCCTCAAAGAACGGGGGAACACTACAAGGAATTTGGAGGGACAAAGATGGCAGTGTGATTTAGCTTTCCTTGCTGACATTACTGCTTATCTAAACGACCTTAATTTGAGATTGCAGGGAAAGATGCAACTTGTTTCTCAGTTGACAAGTAACATCAATGCATTTATGACCAAACTATCACTTTTCAAGTCCCACATGCAATCAGAGAACTTTACACACTTTCCACATTGCAAGGCCATGAAAGAGAAATACCCACATATGAAGATGGATTACTCTGACCAAGTTAACACCCTCCTTACATCATTCAATGAGAGGTTTGGTGAATTCCAGAAATACAAGATCTACCTGCAACTTTTTTCAACTCCATTTGATGTGAAAGTGGAAGATGCCCCTCCAGATGTCCAACTTGAGTTGATAGACATCCAGTGCAGTGATGAATTGAAATCACAGTTCAAAAATTCTAATCTCCTCACATTCTACAAAGAACTGCCAGATACATCATTTCCAAAACTGAAAGACAATGCTCGATTTTGTGCAAGCATGTTTGGCAGTACCTATGTATGCGAACAGGCATACATAGGTACTGCCAAACAAGCTTGCAAGTTTTCGCTTATGAATTTAAACAAGTGCAAAACACGGAACAGGTTAATCAACGAGAATTTGGAAAATCTGCTGGTTGTTTCAACATCTGCCATTACACCAGACATCAAGAAGATTGCCGCCAGCATCCAATCTCAGCCATCGCATTAATCGCTTGGAGGTCCGGCCCCCAGTCAGTAAACTTAATCCTAATTTGGCCCTTCTTCACAAAAGGTTGTGTATCCCTGCTTTAATTGCTCTCTGCCATAGAGAGATGATAACCAGAGAACTCTCTCATGAGATCGCTACTGCCATTGGAAAATTGGTATCAAGTCAAACTGTGGCTAGCAGAAAAGGGCTTTATGTTAGATAACCAGTGATGTGTCTAAGGGAAAGACCTTTTTCAGAGAAGCATCCTTCTGTATGCTGTAAGCATCATCTGTGGATACAAAACCAATAGTTCCTTGTTTTCTCTGATGAGATAAGATAAAGTTTGCAAACTGATTCTTTATGCATTAACCTTAGAGAGAGTGTAAGATACACTATCAACCCTCAAACATAAGGGAAAATGACTGCTATGTTAGAGATGACATCCTAGTGTTTGGAGACATCATGTTGAATGGCTGTATGCCTCTGGCATGTCTTAAGGGAGGAACTTTGCTCAGAGCTATAGTGATAAGGTCGATGAGCCATATGTGAAGCATTTTTGGGGTGGAGGGTGTCCCAGTTCATTTACAACAAAGCTCAGTTGGTTATGGATTTGAAAAGGAGTATATTTGCAAGTTAGAGTGATCTCTTGACCTAAACTTGATTGATCATAATTTGTGATAACTCAGGATATTTTCTTCATAATTGAAGTTTAGACTATTTACAAAAATTAAATTAAATTTTTGAGTCTATCTCTTAATCCCCTATACACCACCACAGAAGTAACAGTTTTAAATTGCTTTGAAGAAAACACTTCTTAAACAAAGGTAAAAAATTGGTAGAAAACTCTACAATGTTAAAATAAATCACATGTCAGCCTTTTCCTGTAGGTTCTGACACTTTTACATTAAAAACACAAAGAATTTTTCTCACCATATTATTTTTATCCACTTTTAAACTGCTTCTGGCCCGCTAGTGGTAGTTATGAGATATCTACGTTATTTGCATATAGTTACAATTTGTGATAACTCAGGATGTATTTTATTCATAATTGAAGTTTAGACTATTTACAAAAATTAAATTAAATTAAATTTTCGAGTCTATCTGTTGATCCTTTATACACCACCACAGAAGTAACAGTTTTAAATTGATCTGTTTTAACATTGTGGAATTTTCTACCAATTTTTTACATTTGTTTAAGAAGTGTTTTCTTCAAAGCAATTTAAAACTGTTACTTCTGTGGTGGTGTATAAGGGATTAAAAGATAGACTTGAAAATTTAATTTAATTTTTGTAAACAGCCTAAACTTCAATTATGTTGATTGATCATGTCTAGAATGCTCTGGGAAACCAACCCATCAAACCCCTCCAAAACTTGCCTTGAGCTAAAATCTAGTCTTGTAGTGGAGTGGGGATTTATTGTCCCAAAACTTCCAGAACCTCATAAATAGCCTGGCTGTACATTGTGAATGCTGTATGACTATCAGGGATAGTCACACTCCCTATTAACCTCTTTTTTCTGGGGATATGCTAATGTTTTGGGTATTCTTGGGAAAATGTGATGTGTATATCTCTGAAAGGTTTTGGTTTTATATTTTTCATTTTCATTTTATAAGAAAGATTTAAATATCATCAGTTAGTATTCTAACTTCCTGTTAATGGCAGAGTTCAAAGTAAGATCACAAAATGTAATTTAAAATAGGATATGTTCAACAGCTTTATGCTAAAATTTTGGAGGTCCTGATCCACTGAATCCCCATCAGGCACAATCATGCTGTTAGCATGAAGTATCTTTGTACAAAATTTCATCCAGACTCATCAAATACTTTTCCAGCTATCCTACAATGTGTTTTTACCTTAATTTTGGGACATGAGTATATCTTGCATTCTTTAGGACACATTAGCATTTGAATTTTTACAAATAAAGTACAGTCATGCTAATTCAAACTTGTTGTAATCCAAACAACTTCTACCATTTCCCTAACTAAAATAATGAACTCGTCAACTGTATACTTGCAGCTCACATATAAAATAAAAAATAAACATGTCATGTCATGAGCATTGTTGCTCATTCTTTCTGTGATCCTATTTTACTTAACAATTCTAATCGCTATTTGCTGCTGTAAAATATCTTACAGCAGTAAAAAGTGGTCTCAATGCATAAAAATCATATCCCTGTTAATCTAAACTTTTCATTAATCCAAATTATCACTGAACTCAATTAGTTTGAATTAGTGGACTGTACCCATTATGTTAAATAAAACTAAACCATAACATAGAGACTAAAATTAACAAAGCAGTTATAACATGTTAACAACTCTTCTTACATTATGCATCGTTAAAATTAATGCATGTTTTATGTGATTGTTTGCATATCTCCACTTTTAAAAATTTTTTCCTTTGTTTGAACTTTAGTCTTGAGATAATCCTTTAGTCAGTTATAAAAGCAAATAAATTGATTCAAATTAATAGCACCAGGTAAAGCCCACTTTCATCAATTGAAAGCAAAATTCTCTTTCATTGGCATAACAATTTATAGGGGCTAAAGTTGATTTTTATAAAATCACAGTTTGCTCCAAGCAGTTTGGTGACAACTGCTTGGAGCAATGCAAAGTGCTTTTTAGCTGATACATATATTCAATTTTTAGTTTTAAAACTGAAAAGCTTGAGCAGTTCTGAAAAATAAGGAATTCTTATTCAAACAAGTGATCTAAAAACAAGATTTTAAAAATACTAATCAGTAAATTAATTTTAATAAACAAACGTTTTCAACCATCTTAAAT